ATGAAGCTAAGCACCTGGGACTTTGCATGTGTTTTTTTCAGTATTGTTAGAGTTATTGCCCGTGACTTTAAGTAGTATAAATTTGCAATTTTCAACTTGTTCTTGCATAGCTCAAAAAGTATTTCACTTGTAGGCCTAAAAGTTTACAAGAATGTTGGTCAGCATGTGTACTTTTGCACCTTGGGGTTTGCTTGTGGATTTATTCAGTATTTGTAAAGTTCTTGCCCTTTACTTAGTAAAAGAGTTTTAGTTTTCAAAAAATATTTGACCTAGAGTCATAAGATTGACAGAACAGTGGCGCGGTGGGGGCACCTGTGTCCTATGGACACATTTCTAGTTCAAATTAAGTTTTAGGCCTAACACATGATCAAAATTTGAAATTACATCAAACGAGATTTCTTTTAATATTACAATGTATTTAAAAATGTTGCATCGTCTGCAATAAAAAGATTTTGTCATATTACTTTTTCCATTGACAATAATTCCTTTTATAACATTATCCTTATTAATGTAATTCGCTTATTATTTAAGGAGAAGGGGTGATAATGGGAATCCTCGTCTCACACCTCTTTCTATCGGAAAGGTGTAGGAAAGTTCCCATTATTGATCACCACAATACTTAATTCATAGGCTTTGTTTTTATAGATTTATTGCGGGTTGGTTTGGAATTGCGTTTTTAAATGTAGGAAATCGATTGGGGTCGTGTCCGACCTAGCAAAAATACGATATTTCATCCGAAATATCGTTTTGTTGTTCAAAAACGGTTTAAGTTGGGACAATAATGTTATTTTCAACATTTAACTGCAATTTGATATAAACCTTTTTATGATTTACGTAAGACTGACTGCAATTTTGACTTATACTGGACTAGTGGCTTTCGGCTGATTTCGCGAGTTCTATATATCATAAATACAGCATATATTTTTATTTTTTTATGCCCCCACTGCATATTGTTTTACCATGTTCCGTCATTCCGTCATTCTGTCATTTAGTCATCATCAGTTTCCGTTCATTATCTTAGTAACGGTTGCACACATTCAATTCAAATTTGGCATATGGATATGTCATGAACAAATACAGCTCAAGTTGGAATTTGGTCATGGTTCAATGATTTTTGGCAGAGTTATGCCCCTTTTACTTTGAAAATAATATGAAATTTTCAGTTCCGTTCATTAACTCCCCAACGGTATTACACATTCAACTCAAACTTCACATATGGATATGTCATAAGAAAATCTAGGTCAAGTTTGAATTTGGTCATGGTTCGATGATTTTTTTTTGGCAGAGTTATGCCCCTTTTACTTTAAATATAATATGAAATTTTCAGCTTCCGTTCATTATCTCCAAAACGGTATTACACATTCAACTCAAACTTGACATGTGGATACGTCAAAAGAATGAGCAGGTCAGGTTCGAATTTGGCCATGGTTTAATGTTTTTTGGCAGAGTTATGCACCTTAACTTTGTAAATAATATGAAATTTTCAGTTTCTGTTCATTATCTCCCCAACACTGTTACATATTCAACTCAAATTTGACATACGGATATGTCAAAGGAATGCGCAGGTCAAGTTCGAATTTGGTCATGGGTGGATGATTTTTGGCAGAGCTATGTCCCTTTCACTTTGAAAATATTATGAAATTTTTAGTTTCCGTTCATTATCTCCTCTAGGGTATTATACATTCAACTCAAATTTGACATATGTATACGTCAAAGAAATGCGCAGGTCAAGTTCGAATTTTCTCATGGTTCGATGATTTTTGGTAGAGTTATGCCCCTTTAATTTTGTAAAAAAGGAAATTTTCAATTCACATTCATTATCTCTCTAACAGTTGTACATATTCATCTCAAATTAAAGATATGGATATGTCGTAAGAATGCATTTGTCAATTTTTAATTTGGTCATGGTTTGATGATAGCTGACAGAGTTATCCCTCTTGAACTTTGAAAAAAAATCAGAAATTATAAGTTTCCGTTCATTATCTCCCCAATGGTTATACACATTCAACTCAAATTTGACATATAGATATATCTTAGGAATAAGTAGTTCAAGTTTGAATTTGGTCGTGGTTCAATGATTTTGAACAAAGTTATTTTTTCTTGAATTTTCAGTTTCAGCACTCATACTGTTGTGGAAATGTATATAGCCATTATTTTGGCTACAAATATGCAATATGCAATTTACGAAAGGTTAATACTGAATAGTTTCAGTGCCTTGAACTTTGTATAAAAATGTTTTGTGTTAACATTGAATATTTTAAGGGTTTTGAACTTAAAATGAAAAAAACATAATTTGTGCAAAAAAATGGAACTAAATATTATTACTTATCACACACCCGTGCCGATTTTGCGACTCCGTAAAAATGGTATTGCACGGCCGTGCATATATTTTGACGTGACGTCATTAGCGTTATCTAAACATAGTGTAAAGACGCGCTAAATGTACACGTTATACTATAGGCGCGTCAATGAAAAATGACTCTTATTTCATTTAAACGGTCTTTATTTTGGGTATGTGATTATAAGAATCTTACACCGGCTGCCGGTACAGACCGGAATATCTAGCTTGAGGGTAACTGTTTACAGCGGTAACGAGGCTCTGTCGAGTTTCCGCTAAACAGTTACCCGAGAGCTAGATATTCCCGTCTGTACCAACAGCCGGTGTTTGATTCTTTTTCTTGCATATTACATGTCAATTATTTTCGGAACAGAAATTATGAAAACTGATATTATCATTACGCACTTTTTTCTTATAGTAGCGTATGAACATACAACTTCATTCATAACGGAAAAATGACGTCATCCTATGAACGCCAATCATTCATAAAAGGCGTGCGTCAATTACGTCATTTAAAGCACGCGACTTGTCTTACATGGGGGGTGTAAGACAGAGATTTCTAGCACCGGTGTAAACAGTAGATAATCCTGTCTGAGATGCAAGAAAAATAGAATATTAAATTCGTGTAAGTTCAATACTGACTGTATTGCACTCGTTGAATAAAAATAATATTATGCTCGCCAGAGGCTCGCATAATATGATTTTATTCAACTCGTGCAATAAATTCAGTATTGAACTTACACTCATTCAATATCCTCTATATCTGAAATTTTGGTTGCATGCGGGGGGGGGGGGGGGGCATCCGTGGCGTGACGACACATTTCTAGTTTTTTCTAGAATTACTTTTTCACACTATCCCAACACTATGCTGAGTCCCTGTAGCTTTTTTCGAGGTCGGCAAAAAGTAATAAATAGAGGATATTCAAGTTTATACTATAAATACATGATTTATTTTCATCGAATGGTATGAAAATAAATATTTCATGAGTGGCATTAGCCACGAGTGAAATATGGTAATTTTCATGCCACAAGATGAAAATAAAACATGTATTTATAGAAAAAACTTGAATTTTCTGTTTATTATATACATTTTTCTCTTTTTTGACATTAAAATTTGAAAGACTTTCCCTTAAATTTTGTGAACTGGCAGAATTTAAAAGAAAGTAGTCCGGCAAGACACCAGTGAAAATACGGAAAATATGTTTCACTGCAGTGAAAAATAAATTTTTACAGTGAAAATACGGAAAATGAAAATACGCAATTTATTTCATCAATATTTCTCAATATTTCATTTATAAGTATATAATAAACCTGAATTATTTTTTGATTTGTAAGTATTCGATAGTTTCAAATTACAATCTGATATTTTCTCCTATTCTCCTATGTACGTGTAAAAACAGTTTGGGCGTGTTTTACTTTAGAATATATAATTTTCATTTTGTTTTTATGACTAAAATATATTTCATATTATTAAGATTATTCATATCTCTGTTAATTTTGTTTTCAAAATTTTCAGTTTCAGTTTTTACAAAACAACATTATACCTGCTTTCCTGTAGACTCTAGCGTCACCATCGAGGCCGGTCTTTTCACTGTTGAGCTCGGTTGCAGGAAACCGGGCCGTCTGACGACTTGCATATTGGGCACGAATGTATGCATCATTTTACTACCATTCTGGTTTTGTCATATTTTCTTGTTTCCATCACCGAATCGCTAATGAGCCTTTGCGAATCCTACGCGGTTGGTCTCAGCTTTACAATTGTCACTGTTTTTGGTATTTCAATTATATATCATTAACTTTAGTCAGTTTGGCTGCCATCGTCAGTCTGCGATGCAGCTTTTTTAAAAAAATTTATGGCAGTCAAGTTTATTTTTCATCATGTTTGCTTGTATTGCATGTATATTAGACTGATGTTCCGTTAGTTTAACACATGCTGAAATTTAATCTCGCATGGGGTGGGGGTGGTGCCAGTTGGTTCTCTTGCTCCAAAATGACACCACCTTTGCTCATTTTAGAAGGAAACTGCGTCCTTTAGATGCGTCGTTTCGCCGTTATATTATATGAAGTTGTAAATTCATATGCTAAAAAGGTAAACCAATTAAATACTAGTATGCTAGAGAAAGAAAGTATAATAATGCAGGGGAAATATTTGATATGTGTTTGCAGTTCAGATCGGATTATCCGTACCCCAACACACACCGATAGGCGGCAACTCGGCAATTCAGGTTGATAGGCTGCTGCGAAGATAATATATTTTTTCTAAAGTCTAGAGTTCATATAAAATAATATTATGCATTTAATGTCCTTAGAAAGTGATTTTAAAGCAATTTAAACTCAGGTTTCAATATTTCTAACAGATGTCAATCCATTTAGGCTGCTAAACGGCTAACTTCATGCTGCTAGTTGGCTATAGAGCTTATATTATTTCCGCAGTCTATAGGTAAAGTTCTGTTTCGTAACAAATATTTTTGAGCAAACCTCGTTACCGACTACTGGGCGGGTCCCCTCGAGACGAATCGTAACATATGTCAGTTATTATTATGCTTGAGATCATTTTCGAATGTTTCTTTATCTGCTTGGCTTCCAGCTTCAGGTGATATTTTAGCATAAGAGGTCGTGATTTACTTGATCGTGTGTGGACAAGTAATAAAGAAAAGTCAACTCGTGCTTTTTAACTCTTTATATCACAATTGACAAATTTACAAATATTAAGGAATAGGACAGTAAAAGATGTAAAAATTAAAAAATGAAATAATAAAAAAATGTTACAAACATGAGTCTGAAAGAAAAAGTCTTTTTAAAAAAAAAAATGAATTCAGATGTGCATGATATACGGGGAAATGTGTTTTACCACGTCAATGTTTCTAAAAATAACTTCGAAAGAGTCTGAGCAGTATTGTCAAAAACAGATAAAATAAATAAACCGTCATTGCACTGGCGATCACATTAAAATATTAATAAATACGAAATATTTCTCTATTTAAAAATTTTCAGCATTTTTTTAGTTCGTCGGCTCCGTGTTACACAACAGCTTGATAAATTCTGAAATGAGAACACTTAATATTAGTTTATGACAAAAACCATCATAAAATATGAGCTAACTTGACGTATCCTTGGTATATTCAAAGTAAGCTAGTAAACTTCATGTTAATTTGTTAGTAATATATAGGGCGCCTCTAATAAAGATACGGCTCTACTTTACATATAGGTTCCCGGGGGAACATCACAGTAATGGTACAGACTCAACGGTAAGTAGATAATTTTACCAGTTTCATATATATGAATGATTCTTACGATGAATATATTTTTTACTGCAGTGAAGACAGAAAACTTCAAGTAGGTTAGAAATTTGATTAGTATATTTATATTCAGCAAATAAGGACACTTTCATTGTTATAGACTTATTTCCATAGTATTTAATAAAATGATTGATTTCTCTATTACATAAAATATTTTGATCTTAAAATTTCAGCTTTTTTGTTCAAAATATCTCAAGTTTGAGATAAATAACAGAATTTACTGTTTTACACATAAACATGCATCACTTCGCGACATGCATGCCAAATATCAACCAAGTGCGTCTTTTCTTTCAGACGTCAAACTAGCCCGCTTGAAGAAATATTTGCTGCCGTTGAAGGTAGAATGTATTTTCATCGCTGTCAATGATGGCAGAAATGCTCTGAAAGTGGCTAAGATTCTGACAGAAAATCAAGTTCAACCTGTTATTAATTCCTTTATTTTTAGAGTACTTTTATCAACAACTGTGGCGGCGGACTATCGTTTACTCATGTTCTTAATCCCTCACGTTCTCTCTCAGCTCCACTTTTCACCGCACAATCGCACTTGACACTACACACTCGCACTTTGCACTTGATCAGGTAATCAGCTTTCTTTAAATGTCTAATGAAACACATATTCAGCGATACAAATATACTGTATTAAAAGGACATATGCATACATAAATGTTGTTAGCTGAATATAATCTAACTTAATTCAATTAATGTTCTAGTTAAAGAATAAATCAATTTCAGAATAATAAAAAAACACAAGAAAATGTATATAAATTGTTAAATGAGTGAGCATATTGTTTTTTAATACACTTATTGCTACCTATAGTTACAAAATTGCCTACTGTATATAGTTTTAGGATTATCGCATTTTTTTCCAATTCATTTTCTCTATCTTTTTCCCTTCCTCTCATTCTTTCAGGTATAATCTCTTTATATTTTAATGTATTTCGCATCTCGAATCATTCCCGCAACTTCATCATCACTTTCAATCTACTAACCATTATAATCTACCATTCCATCTCCGTTCATATCCGCCTCTCGAATCATTTCTGCGACTTTATCATCACTTTCACTCTACTTACCATTATAATCTACCATTCCATCTCCGTTCATATCCGCCTCTCGAATCATTTCTGCGACTTTATCATCACTTTCACTCTACTTACCATTATAATCTACCATTCCATCTCCGTTCATATCCGCCTCTCGAATCATTTCCGCAACTTCATCATCACTTTCAATCTACTAACCATTTTAATCTACATTCCATCTCCGTTCATATCCGCCTCCTCGAAATCATTCCGCAACTTCATCATCACTTTCAATCTACTAACCATTATAATCTACCATTCATCTGCGTTTCATATCCGCCTCTCGAATCATTTCCGTGACTTTATCATCACTTTCAATTACTTACCATTATAATCTACCATTCCATCTCCGTTCATATCCGCCTCTCGAATCAGTTCGCAACTTCATCATCACTTTCAATCTACTAACCATTATAATCTAACCATTCCATCTCCGTTCATATCCGCCTCTCGAATCATTTCCGCGAACTTTTATCATCACTTTTCAATCTACTTACCATTATAATCTACCATTCCATCTCCGTTCATATCCGCCTCTCGAATCATTTCCGCGACTTCTTGGTTCCGTAATTTCTCCCCTAGATTCGTCATCACATAGCGCAACTCATCCGCACTAATATAACCATTTATTGTCTTGTCAAAAACCTCGGAATGCTAAAACAAAATCACAAATCTATCGTTAAATTACATTTTAAACTCTATAGTTAAATTACATAAAAACTTGTTTTTTCAAATTTCTACGTTTGCAAAAGATATTTAAGATATTTTTGAGCCTTTTAACCATTATTTTTTGCCTTCACCTGGACAAACACGGCAAGTATCATATATGTGGTTCTCGAGTCGATATCTGGATGACCGGCGGACGACGCTGGGTTTTATTTA